GCAAGTTGTTCCACTGATTAATTGTTCTCATTGTCAGGAAATTTCTCCTTATTTCTAGGTTGCTTCTCTCCTTGATTAGTTTCCACCCATTGCTTCTTGGTCTGCCCTCAGGTGCTTTGGAGAATAGTTTGATTCCCTCTTCTTTGTGGCAACCCCTCAAAGATTGGACCACTGCTATCATGTTACCCTTAGTCCTTGTTTCTAGATAAATACAACACAATAGCAGAGTTGGAAGGGACCTTGGAGGTCTTCTAGTTCAACCCCCTGTCTAGGCAGGAAACCCTATACCATTTCAGACACATGGCTGTCCAACATCTTCCTGAAGACTTCCAGTGTTGGGGCATTCACAGCTTCTGGTGGCAAGTTGTTCCACTGATTAATTGTTCTCATTGTCAGGAAATTTCTCCTTATTTCTAGGTTGCTTCTCTCCTTGATTAGTTTCCACCCATTGCTTCTTGTTCTGCCCTCAGGTGCTTTGGAGAATAGTTTGATTCCCTCTTCTTTGTGGCAACCCCTGAGAAATTGGAAGGCTGCTATCATGTACACTGAAGATGCATTTAATTTTGTTGTACGAGGGACAAAGACAATAAAGTAAACTAAACTAAACTGCCACTCGCAAAAGCCGAGACCACATCCTGCATTTCATCAGAAAAAAACTACTAGCACAATTCTCCAGATTTTTAGCCAAGGGCGTAATGAGCCTAAGTAAAACAGAGATTTTGGCAAAAGCCCACACACGATTCCAGAAATCCAGAAAGTCATTAAATCGGCACTCATTCTGCAGAAAAAAACACCCCGTTCCATTGTGCACGTGTTTGTTGTGTCTCGGAGGCCGGACGTCGCAAGTTATTTGTTAAAACAAGTTTTAAAATGCTGCCGGGTAAAGTGGTACGTCTCAATGATGTAAGGAGGGTCCTCGGCTTACGACCACAATTTCTATTGCTAAACTGACCCGTTTGCTCAATGAGTTTTGCCCGTTTTGCGAACCTTTCTTGCCACGGCTGTTCGGTGAATCACTGCAATTGTTCAGTTAGGAACACAGTTGTTAAGTGAATCTGGTTTCCCCATTGACTTTGCTCATCAGAAGGGACCACATGACCCCGCGGACACTGAGACCGTCCTAAATATGAATCCGTTGCCAAGGTCAGAATTTTGATGTGACCATGCAGATATTGCAATGGTCGTAAATGTGAAAAATGGTCGTAAGTCGCTTTTTTCACTGCTGTTAACTTCACTAACTTCAAACGATTACTAAATGAACCGTTGTAAGTCGAGGATCACTTATAATCGACTAAATGTCCTCCCTATGAAGGAGCATTTATACAAGTAATCCTCTACTTATGACCACAGTTGAGCCCACTTTTTTTTGTTTTGCTAAACGAAATAATTGTTTAGAGAGTTTTATCCCATTTTACGACCTTTCAGGCCACTGTTGTTAAGTGAATCACTGCAGTTGTTCAGCGAATAACACGCTTAACGCTTAATTCAGCAATCCGTCCAAGAATGTTCACAAGCCAGTCAATACAGCTAGTCCTCGACTTACGACCACGAATGACCTCCAACATTTCCCTTGCTAAGCCGGACAGTTTTACCCATTTTACAACCTTTCTTGCGATGGTTGTTAAACGAATCCGGCTTCCCTATGGACCCTGTTCGTCAGAAGCTCGCAAAAGGGGCGGACAGGACCCCGGGATGCTGCAACCGTCATAAATGCGAATCGGCTGCCAAGCGTCCGAATTTTGATCACACAACCGTGGGGAATGATGCAATGGTCGTTAAGTGTGAAAACAGCCGTAGGTCATTTTTTTCCCCGGTGCCGTTGTACCTTTGAAGAGCCACTAAAGAAAATAGTTGTAAGTCGAGGACCACCTGCCGAGGTTTCCTTTCCTGTCCCCGGAAAATGACTCTGATCCTCCTCTGTCCCGTTTCAGAAGAGCCCTGGCCGCTCCCTCCGTACCTCTGCCCCGCCTGGCTGTTCCTGGACGTCCTCTTTTCCACGGCCTCCATCATGCACCTCTGCGCCATCTCCCTGGACCGCTACGTCGCCATCAAAAAGCCCATCCAGGCCAGCCAGTACAACTCGCGGGCAACCACCCTGATCAAAATAGCCGTGGTGTGGCTCATCTCCATAGGTAAGCGGGGAGGGGACACTGGCCCAACGCACAGCGGGAAGGGGGGGAAACGGCAGCCGGAGGAGGGGGGAGGTTAACACCGCAGGATGAAAAGGACAGGCGCAGAGGTGGGAGCCAGGCTCTGAGGTTTAATTTTTTGTTCCTGTTGTTTAGGAATAGACTAGAGATTAATAGAATAGAATAGAATAGAATAGAATAGAATNCACACACACACAGAATACTGGATTCAGTTATATACTATATGTGGGTGGTAAATGACTTGTTGGAATTTGTATTGAAGGTAGGTGGAGAGAACTTTTGAAGTCATATCCAACCATAATGGGAGTAGGGAGGCATAGTTTCTTCATCAGATAAGCTTAATTTTTTACATAACCACTGAACAATAGGAGATCAGAGGCTCTAAAACAAAATATTTTTAGAAGAAACTGAATTTAATTGCCCCCTTTAAAAATAAATCACTCTACAATGGGGAGGGGCTCCCCACTTCCCAGCTGGTCTAGTCTTTGTTGTTGAATGTCTTCCTAAAGATGGTTGAGCAGTAGAAAATAAAATAGGTTCATATATTACACTAAGTCAAGGCTTAATAAGCATACCTTGAATGAATTCATACACCAAGTCAACAAAGCTTTGCCAATATTGATCTTAGCCACCGAAATTTGGACATTTTGGATGTTTTTGCTTACAAACAGATTGTTCTAACTTCAATAGTTTTACTTCTATCATTCCTTAATTTTCAGAAACACACACACACACATATTTATTGTATATATGTGAAATGTATACATTTGAGCAAATGTTCTTTATCATCAGTTGCTTTGCCTTGTTCATGCAAAACACTTCACCAGACCTCTTAAGATTTCATGTCAGCATTCACACCATATGCTAACATTGGTTAGTTTTTTGTGGCTGAGCATGTTGTGAAAATCCAGCTTGTTTGCTTATGATTCAAGGCATTGTGCAACCCCAGAAAATGGATAAATTCATTAACCAGATTAAGTGTGCTGTGAGCCAATGTATTCCTTGCTCTTTCTCTCCCAGCGTCTTATGTCCTGCAGCTTTAATTGCTAGTTTATTAATAGAAGGAGAAGAGTTGGTTGTTTGGAAACAGACAATTTGATTATTAAGTATATATCTCTCTACCTATTGGGATGAATCGGGAAGAGAAGCATCATCCTTTATGGAGAATACTGTGAATCCTTGGTTAGAGATCTGTAGCTATTTGCAGCACAGCTTCAAATATTCCCAAATCCCTGGCAAGAAACCATACTTATAAAACCAATCCCTTCCATAGAAGGAATGTGTCTTCTTAAGCTACTCAATACAGCTTTAACTGCATATCAGATTAAACTATCCCAATTTCTGTTTGATGAGGCACATAGGCCCTGAGAGTAAAACACTCAGAGACACAATCTGAACAAAATCCATTCACTAGAAATAGAAGAGGGACGTGATGGCTCAGTGGCTAAGACGCTGAACTTGTCGATAAGAAAGGTCAGCAGTTCGACAGTTTGAATCCCTAGTAACACCTAATGAATGATCTCCTGTTACTTATCCCAGCTTCTGCCAACCTAACAGTTCGAAAGCACATAAAAATGCAAGTAGAAAAATAGGGACCACCTTTGGTGGGCCGGTAACAGCGTTCCGTGCACGTTCAGTCATGCCGGCCACATGACCACAGAGATGTCTTCGGACAGTGCTGGCTCTTCGAAACAGAAATGAGCACCGCCCCTTAGAGTCGGGAATGACTAGCACAGATATGTGCAAGGGATACAATCAAATAGCAGAGTTGGTAGGGACCTTGGAGGTCTTCTAGTCCAACCCCCTGCCTAGGCAGGAAACCCTATACCATTTCAGACAGATGGCTATCCAACATCTTCTTAAAGACTTGGGGAACCTTTACCTTTAGAAACAGAAGAAAGACTGTTTACTAGTTCAGCACTGTTTTACTGGAAAGAAATCCAGTGCATTCAGGACCCCAAACCAGGGAGAAATTCTGGATGAGAGAAGTTTATAAGGATTCCTAAATGCCAATTTAATTCTGGAGCCCTGAGTTTGCTCGTAGCATTTTAATGCACATTTCCCTTATATCAGTGTTTC